CTTAACACAAATGCAGGTACTTCGTGCATACAACACCGACGACTTGCGGGGAAACTTAAAATAAAGTAATTTAACAATAAATTCAAAGATAAACAGTAGTGCTGGACTAACAATTTAGTTTAAGGCTAACTAGGCTGATTCAGCAACCTACTCGGCGATATACTTATCAAATCGCTAAAAAGGCGTGTCAGCAACTCAGCATATCCACGGCGAGAACAGAACAGTAATGTGCGTTGGCTAGCAAAATCACGCTCTGAATAAAATAAACTACTAGGTTTCGTCTACTTTTATACTCTCTTCACTTAAATTTAAATTTGCATCTTAGCGAGGACATGCGAGGGGAAAATGGGATTTTCAGGAAAGATACCAAACGTAAAATAGTTTTTTATGCAAAGTAAGGGAAACCCTACACAATAAATAAAAATGATTTTATTCAAAATTATTATTTCCAAAATTAATTTTCAGTAGAGATAAGTAAACAAGGAACAAAAAAGTGCATCTTGTATATTTCACACACGGATATCTGTATTTTACTTTTGGAGTTCAGTGAGATAAGATATAATTCGGAAAGGTACGTGAGTAACATAAGTAATCATTTCATTTAATACTGAAGATGATGCACATTGCTGTGATTTTGAGCACGCTTCTGCCTGTGGCATTATGTTGTCCATCAGCAGAATCATTACATCCTTGCGTCTGCGAGGGAGACGATATAATTGAAGAAGTTACTTGCTATGGTCTCGAAAACGAAATTGACCTTCAGAATGCAGCAGCAGCTTGTAGGAACCGGCCACTTATACGAAATTTTAAGATAATTCATTCAGTGTTGAATTACATCCCATATGCAACCTTCAAAGACACGTTATTCAAGACGTTAGAAATAAGCGACACAACTCTGGTTTCAATAGGCGAGAAAGATGAAGCATTTGTTGGTTTAGAAAATACTTTGAATACATTAGCATTGTCTAAGAATATTTTCATGGGATCGTGGGACTGGTCGGATTTAAAAAATCTCAAAAGCTTGAAATTTTTAAAATTCAGTGAAATGGAGCTTCAGTCGATTGATAAAGATATTGAAAATATCAATTTTCTAATAGGAATCGATTTATCAAAAAATAAAATATTATGGATACATGATGAGGCTTTTGTTTATTTTCAAAGCTTAGTTTATCTTTTTCTGGTTGAAAATGATATCAAGATATTGAAGAGAAGTATGTTTCCAAATCCAGCATCTTCTCTTCAGACTATCAGTTTAAGGTAAGTTTAATTTTTCAAACTTTTACGTTGCTAAAATTTAAATAATAGGTCATTTAACAGATAATGAAAGCTAAAATAATGCTGTAAATGAAATGCATATTTATTAATTACTTAGTAATTTTCAGGCCTCCGCTTCAAAAGTAAAATTGGCAATTTTAAGATTGCTAAAATTGCAAAAAAATAAAACATCATTTATAAATTGTTGTTAATTTCGAATAGACCAAAACGAAATGCTCTTCTTCATTGAAGTCAATTGCATTTTGTTACAGGTTCCTTTAAACTTATAAATGATATCGTTAATGATAAGCATATTTTACAGCATTTCAAACATAAAAGTCTCTAAACTTACTTTTTACAGTCTTTTATATTTATTACATTTACAATATATTTAGCAAGTTTCAGAAAATATGTAATACTAGCTTTCAAGCCCGACAGATGAGTGGGCTGCGGCCAAAGAAAAATTTATAAGTTCTATATACACGTGAAAAGAAAATATATAAGAACATTTCAGTATGAAAGAAATCAGTTCATTCTCCAAGCAACAACAAATTCGTATATAATTTTTTGGTTACCAAACCATGAAACAAAAAACTTTTGACACTTCACGTTAATACGTATACGTATGATGTCATGATTTAAATTTAATGTAATGTAACAACTTTTTCTTAATATCATTAAAAGAATTAAAGTGGCAATAACATACCGTGTTAGTTATCTTAATCTGAAATAAAAGAACTTGGCAGCAGCAGCTGTTTATTTAAAACGCTGACATTAATAAATATTTTCGACATACAATGACATCACATGCAATTGCGGGCTTTCTTCAATGTCAGAATATGATATTATATATTAAACACATATTTAATATTTTCAATTATTTCATATTTTGTAAAACTTACAATTTTTTTATTAGATTTGGAAGCGAGCAATGGCAATACTTTTCGAAATAAACTATGTTTACTTCAGCGACACCCAAGACTATTGCCACTGGGAAAAAACTGCAAAAATTAGTGTTTTCAAAGTTTTTAATTGATATCTCGTCTGTCGCACGAACATGGGAATGTCAAAATGGCTTCCCACGAATTTTTGAAATCTGGGGGTACCTCTCTCGAACTCAACTGCCCGCCGTTTCGAAGGAGATGATGCCACAAACAAATACACGAACGAACAGACACTTGCATAGATTTTAATAGCAGAGAGATCTGTTAGAAATGTTTCTTACAACAACTGAACGTAAATAAAGTCAGAAAATAATTTCGCACCTTGACGATAACATATAACATAACATCTATAAAGTCAATTTATAGACATCTGTAGACGTAGGTTTAAACAAACCTTTTTATTAAAACAGAACTTGAACATAAAATATATGTCTTATGTGTTAGCCCACATCAACCACACTTGTGGCAATGAAGCTTAAGGTAAGAATCAAATTCAGATTAAAACTAAGTAGTAGACAAAGACTACACGACTGATTTAAAGCGAAACTGGATTAAAATTTCTCATCGACTCAACAATTAAATGTCGGCAGCAAAAACGCGAAGCCGAAGAATTAAAATCTTATCAGAGCTGGCGAAATCTAGTGGCAGAAACGCGCTCTGTCTTATCCTCCATTTAAATACTCTTTGAATGATTTGCATTCTGGTGGTTAAATGGAAAGGAGACGTGATAGTAAAGATGAAATTATAAATAACCGGTTAATTTATTGTAATTTTTCGAAGTAAACTCGAAATGTTTGAAACTCCAAAAGAACTGCTAACGTTTCGCTTTCTGTAGAGGTATAATTCCTTTGTCGGATTAAGTGTCTTACTAAAATATGCAACTGGCTGTCCGTCTTCCATAAGCATAACTTTTACGACAAAATCCAATGCGTCTGCGGAGATTTATAACTTCCAATTTGAGTCAAGGAATTTTAATACTGGCACATGGATTAAAGCGGCTTTTAACTTTTCGAACGCTGTGTTTGTTAAGGCCGACGAGGTAAACCTGCCTTTCTTTCAAGTTTAACAGAGGTTATGGGCAAAATCTTTAATAAATATCGTATAACAGGAACACAAAATCAAACACGAGGGCAGATAATTTACTATATTAGATTGATGGTAAATTTTTATTTCAGCTATTTTGGACTGCCTATATGTTTTGCCCAGCAAACAAAGTTCTTTGGTCGTAAATTTGTATTTGACGCTTTTTTTGACGCTGTTCGTTTAAAAGGGAAAATTCGTGTAAATCTCGAATATGTTCATCTATTGTATCGTTAGTAACCATAATATCGTCTGGATAAATAAACATACCTCGAATAGAAATATGATAAATAAATATGATAGAATTACATCTATTCCTCTCTCAAATGTGGCGGGTGCTCTGCATAAGCAAAACGGCCATTAGTAAGGTATAAAAGCCTGAATTGGTTATAAATGCGGTTTTGGGCATATCCTCTGGCTTTATACATATTTGAAAATATCCAGAAGTGAGATCTAATGCCATCATGTACTTTGCATATGACTTTTCGGATAATTTCCTCGATTATTGGCAATGGATAGACGTATCTAGTTATCTCCTTTTATTTTTGATAATCAGTTGCAAAACGCCGTGTCTTGGAATCCCTTGGTGGGACATTATTTTTCTTTCGGCATATTACTACGCGGTTAGCGTAAGGAATGGTTACAGGAAATATAATTTTAATTTTTAGCATTTCTGAGATGTGCATCTCACTTATGTTTCTTTATCATAGCGATAAGGCTTTGCTCGATTTGGGGTGGCTGTTTCTTGTGTCGATGCTGTCGTTTACTCTTTGAGTTAACCCTGGTGAGTCATCAAATAGATTTAGAAACTGCCCCACCGACTATTCCAGCTTCAGAGTTTCTTCTAATTTAAATTGTTTTAAATCCAGAAGCGAAAGATGCACTTGTGTCTCTTCCAACTCATTCATATCGAACTGCACCGTTGTTTCCTGAAAATCCGACCAACTTAAAAAAAATTCTTTCCCAAAATTAAATTTGCGTGAAGGTTTTTCACCACAAAGGAAACCAACTTCTGCTTCTCATTTTTCACCTGTACTTTTGTTACTTTTACTATACATGCACACTGAATGCTTTGGGCAGCAATAACTTTTGTTCTTTCAACATCAAATACTCTGTACCGTTCAAATTCCTTTCAAAAATGATTTTCTGTCCAAAACCTACTTTACGCCCTTATACCCAACAAGCGCCCACTATTAAATTGCTTGATAAAATCTGAGCTCCCAATCGGTATAGTGAGTCGCTGACTGCTGTGCCGAAGGACCCGTGTTCGAATACCGAAGAAGGCAATGCTGTATGTAAAGGTATAGTGCCCGTGCGGCATGGGGGCACTCGAAATATGCGGCGAGCCGAAAGTCTTCTCGAGAGGTTGAGGGTAGGGGAGGAGGGATGGGAGATGTTCGGACCCGTCCCTCTGGGGTACTCTCCATCAAAATTGGGGGCTGAACTGAGCTAAATCGCACTGTCAACTGCAGTTGACCGTGGTTACGAGTCAAATCGGGCGGCGGAAAATAATCTTGAAGTCCCTATTTAACAGCAACAGACTATAGCGTTAGCTGTTTTAGTAAGTGGGTTTCTTTGGTTTACCAGGGAATTTTGATAAGAGAAAAAAATCCATAATGAATAACATAGCATAGTTGTTTAAAACTTGTCAGTGAAGAAAATGTATTTTAATCACAATGCAATTGAGGATTGTTTGTACATAATGATTTCAATTCTTTTCAGGCAAAACCAAATTCAAACACTTCCGATCGACATGTTTCAAAATATGCCTAAACTTGACACTTTCCTGATCTCCGGTAATCATATTTTGACCCTAGATGAGAGAACATACTCAGCAGCTTGGAATCAGCTAGCCTTTATAGATCTAGATGGTAAGATGACTGGTTTCGTTTAGTTAATAAAATCTAAATAGCTCTGCATGTAATTTTAATAACGAGGTAAACAATTGTAATCGTATTTCGGAGCGTTTATGCAAATGCAGATCATTATTTTTACTGTTTTAATGCACTGATTTGTTTTAATAGATACTTTTGTAAACGCAACGTATTAATTTTATTTAAAATGTATTTTCCCGATTGGCAACAACAGTTTTTTTCAGAACGATAATAATTTGAACTGTAATGTTTTGGGGCAATAATGCTGACGGTAATGTTTCTGAATAAAGCAAGTATCTAACAATTAATGTTTGACGGAATGTGTGTTTTTAATAAAGGAACTAATTAATTGCTAACATTTTTAAAATACTGACTCGATGAGTAAAGCTTAATGGCAATAATTAGAATAATGTTTACATAAAAGAATTTAGGATTTAATAACTTAAGGAATGCACTGAAATTCAGGACTTATCGGAAAGCTAATTAAATACACTCTTCTGTGAGAATTTTTAAATGCATAATATTATCTATTTTGACACTTTGCTCTCATATTCCATTTGAGATTCATTGGAATTTCTTTCTTAACTGTATTTCAGTTTGTTTTTAGCAGTACATATTTAAAATATATTTATACATTTTAATGAAATGGAATGCTTGTTCATTGATCTATTCTAGCTTTTCATCTTTCTTTTTCTTTATTTTTTTCCTTTCTCTATGTGGGTGTATTTAAAGAACATTTAACAAGATATAAATACATGACGATGTAAGTGACTATAATTTTGGAGTTTCTTCTTTAATGGAAATAATTATTTAGCTTCTGTATGCAGAAGACATAAAGATTGCTCGCATGCGTTAGGAAAAAAATTAATACTTTAAATTCAGTCTTTCTCACTGCTTTATGTGCATACTTAAGCGTCAGTGTATGTATTTACTTGAACGCTTCTTAAATTAAGAGTTATTTTTCGTCTTTTATTATTTAATGATGGCCATGTGTATGTCCCTACGTTCTCATGATTAAAAGTTTACTGTTTCAAAATTAAGATTAATCGTTTGTTTAATTTATATATTTTAGGCACCGATATTATTGAATATTTAACTACTACATATTACAAGTTTCTATTTGCTTGCACTGTTTTTTCATACATTTCTACCACCTTTTTAATGCTTCCATATTTATGTTCAAAAAGAAATTATACAAAAAACAAAAACAAAAAAAAAGCATGTTAATGTAGTTTTGTATTACCAGACACAGAGCAAGATTTCTTTCAGATCCTATGATAATATTTTCAATAGTCACTTCCTCGTCCTAAATGAAGAAATTTTTACTCTTTTGAAAAACCTCCTTTCAAAATTTTATCACCAGCCACTGGATGAAACACTCTGTTGTAGAAGTTATTTTTATATTACCCAGCGACAAATTATTTGCAGTATGATGTTGATGAGGAATTTATGTTAATGATATCGCATTTCATACCTAGATTATGTTTTAAAAATTCTAGACAAAATCAATTTCTTTAATTTTTGTTGAAATATAAATAATAAATACATAATAATAAATACTTAATGCCCTGAAAACTCACTAAGAATTGATTCTTGTAGACATTTTCTAGCGCGTCATATAAGCATTTTATTGTTAAGGCTGTATAAAGAGTCTTAAAATTTATTTTCAATAATCAAATAAAAATAAATAATAATAAAAATAAAGTTGAATAAAAATATTTGAATAAAAATAAAGTTATTAACTAATAAATGATAAATTCCATTGCTATGAGGGATTGATATTGTCTGTTCTCGTAAATTTATTGGATTAAAAAAACGTATTTTAAGTTGTTCTTATTCTTTCCGGGGATTGGCATTAAGAATGCATTCTTTTTTCCATTTATTCACATATTACCATCGTTGCAAGTTGCCTTACAATCAGATAATGCATTTTCTGTGCTTAATGCCATCCCCCCATATGTAAACAAATTGCAATAATAGCAGCATTAAAGGTTGATATCAAAATGATCATTGATTTTGCAGATGCCAACATCATTTGATGTTAAAAAACTGTTTGTTTCTTGGGATTTCTGGTGTAAAAAGCTTACCTAAATGCACTATATGTAATGTAATATTAAAATGAAAAAACAAAAGCAATCAGATTATGGCTTTGTAAGTTCGCAGGCATAGATCGACTTGTATTGACGATAGCCATGTAAAAATATCAGTTTGCTTCAGCTGCCAAAATCGATAGAGAATTCCGACTTTCCTCGGGATTCAAGATTATCATTAGGACTACTCAAACTAGAGTTGAATGTATGCATTACCAAGCCTTCTATAAGACAAAATCACGACAATCAACGTTTAGTGAAAGTTATTATGATGCACAATTTTGTAGCTGTAATATGAAAGGAAGGGAATTTGTTGCATTGACAAACGACTCTTGTTGAATGCCTTTGTAACCTGATTGTTTCAAGTAGGTCTACAGAATACTTGAATGTATTGTGCCAACTTTGAAATTTAGTTGACAACTACTGCGTAGTTGTTTCTCAAAAAGCCTCGAATCTTTTGGTTTCTTTGAAACAATTACTCAATCCGGATTAACTCGACATCTTTGACAGTCTTTGCTTCTCACTTTAAGAAAACAATATAGCATGGATCCACACGTTTGCCATACAATTTTCGCAATCGTGGATCATGATCTGCATATATAATGGATGAGAATGGATGAAATTACTTACCTCTACGAAGTCCTAGATCAATTCTACTGAACCATTCTGTGTTGAGTTAGATAGCGTGTCCAAAGCATTCAAAGTACAAATATGCTATTAGGGTGCGTATAGAACTTTCATCAAAGTACATTTGACAAGATGATGTAATTTAAAGGATGATAAAACATTAATTTAATGAATTTGTACATTAAATAAAGCATACTCATAATTACACTCATCCTAAAAGTATCTTGCTAAATTTTGCTCTAAAGTATTCTTGCTAAATTTAATAACTTTCATAATTAATATTAAAATTAATTAAGGAGTTAATTAAGTTTGTAATTGATGAATTAATAAAACTATAATTTATTGTAGAAAAGCTTAAAAATTAAAGAGTGTAATTCTTTTTATTCGCAGATAATGACCTTAGATGTGACTGCAGAATGTCCTGGATTATCAAAACGAGATTACCAAGAACTACAATAGGATTCTGTTCAGAACCACCAGAATTAAAGGGAAAGAATTTAACTAAGCTCACTGGGAAAGATCTCTGGTGTTAACGGACTTTCTATGAATTGAACCAGCATAGTTTCCTTTGAAGATTGATATAAAAATGATATCAATATTTTAATATCTAATTAATTAAAAATGAATTAATAACCAACTTTTCTAAAATTATGATTAATTTAAAACAAATAATTCGTATCTTTCTATGAGGCAATACAGCTTTATGGTTTCCAATCAGGTATTTCAAATTTCTTAAAATATACATTTTAATTACAGAATTATATTTCGTGGATAACATTAATTTACTATACACTCAGTTAAAAATATAAAAATAATAATGAAGAAATAAGCAATGTTTTTAAATATTAAAAATGTGACAAAAATGTATCATTCTTATACAAAAACTACTCAAAGACAAAACAAGGATCTCATTTTTTGTATAAAAGGGTGTTTACATTATATTTAAACTTACATTTCGTAGCTTTAACATTTATCCCCAAGATATGCATTTTTGGGAAATCTGAATAAACAGTGCAATATTTGGTGTAAACAAATGGTGGTGTAAATAATAAAATACAAACATACAAATATATATATATATATATATATATATATATATAAAGAATTTACAACTCTCGGCATATCATTATTAGTGGGTTTGTATATCGAGAGAGGGAAATCAAACTGCCTGTTTCTGAACCGATAATGATATGAATTTTCTAATTTTAAAACTTCCATAAACTACAAAAAGGTTACAAAACCAAATCCAAAATTATTTTGAGATCTTTACGAAAGTTATGTCTGGGATGTGCTCATTTTATAAATTTGTTTATCCATTTTTAAGTACAGAGTTGATTCGTTGGAGCAAAATGATCAGCTCCCAAAAATGAGTCAACGGCACACTGTTCTTAAGTTAAATGTTTTTCAATCTTTCTTGTGCAAGATTTTAAAGAATCGTTAAGATATTGTTTGCAAATCAAAGCAAAACTGAAATGTTCTATGAAACCTATGTCGTATTCATAGTAGGAAAGATCTGAATGCTGAGAAAATACTAATAGTTTGGTTTACAGATGTTCTCGAAAAACCTGTGGACGTCAACGATGCGGCAGATGATGCCCATTGATACGGAAGAAATATACCAGACCGGAAACATGCTGATGCATATCACATGAAAATAGGTTAGTTAAGACGGGGGTTTACTAATGTTATGTAAAGATTTTGAGTTCAAGGGAATTATCGGGAACTAGCGGCAGGAAATGTAGAGTATGATGTCTTATCATTAAACAGAGATCACACCTACCGTTTCAAGCATCAGGTTTTATTTCCAGCTTCACAGAAGAAAAGATAAATAGGATGAGTTTGTACGGATAGATCGAGTATGTTTTAGAAAAGGAATCACAATGTTTGTTCCAGTATGCACAGGTAAATGATAACTGCTGACCACCTACGTGTGATCGCTTTAGATAAGTCCAGGTCTGATCGCCTACGCGCGATCAGTAAGCGTCTTGCTGTAGCTCCTTTGCAAGTGTTCGGTTAGACTGCTTTCTGTCGTTGATTCGGGAGCTGATCATTTTGCTCCAACGAATCAACTTCTAGAAGCAAGTGAAGATGTGTTTACTTGGAAGGTTCCTACCGTAGATGTAAATAGCGTCATCTGGTGTATTGTTGCGGCACAAATCCCACAGAAATGAGCGGTAGGTCCCAGTAAAACTAATTTGCGATTTTCTAATCGATAAGGATAAGGTTAAAGGGATCCTTTTCGCCCTTGCATCTGTTACAGAAAAAGAGAGGATGCCTTTTCCGTACCTTAAAGAGAAGCAAGCTTCGAGAACCGAAAAATGGCGGGAGTTTGAAAAGGTCTTTCTTAATGGTAAGTGTTGAAAGCCTGGAAGAAGAAAGTTAAAAATGATTTCTGTTGCGGGAAGTTACAGAGCGGCGACTTTCTAAAAAGAAAAAAAAAAGACTTGAATGTTGACTGATGATATTAACTACTCCTTGAACTATGATGCAAAGAGAGTACGCTACGCACCGCTTCGTAGGAGACGTTATAAGGTATTTCTCCCACTTTCCTAGCGTGCCTTCGTGGTGTAGTGGTTCTGCACTCTGGACTGGTATTTCCAGAGGTCCGTGGTTCGATTCCCGGCGAAGGCGTTGCTAATTTTTCAATCTGTCTTGCTTCCAAATAAATCCTAATGTCTCTACAGTGGCGCCCGAACTAAAAAGGGTCGTGGAGGATGAATCTCCACACCCAGGATTTGGCGATTGGGTCCCCTAAAAACCCCAGTCGCCCTTTAAAAAGGGGAGTATATAAGGTATTTCTCCCACTTTCCTGGCGTGCCTTCGTGGTGAAGTGGTTCTGCGCGCTGGGCCGGTATTTCCAGAGGTCCGTGGTTCGATTCCCGGCGAAGGCGTTGCTAGTTTTTCAATCTGTCTTGCTTCCAAATAAATCCTAAAGTCTGTACAATGTTTTGTAGTGTGTGTTGCATCTAGGAAACTTTCCCACAACAAACGAAAGAGCAAACACATTTCTTAGATCTGCATACATGAAATCTAGATTATAAACAGAATCTCCAATATATTTTTTCCTATTGTTTCAACAGAAATAAAATTGCTGTGCCTGATAAAATGTTATGAAAACATTCGTGTTCCTCGGAAAAGATGACTCGAAGTTTTTTTTTTTAAAAATCAACATTAGTCTGAAATTAAATTTTGACTTTTTTTAAAATGCAACATATTATGTTAAATTAAAGCTTTGTATAAGATATCTTTTACTTCTCAACGAATCAGATTAAATTTTAGTTACAAGTAACCCTCGTATGATACGGTAAATAGGTTCCTAGAAAATGCCGTATTGTGTGAAACCGTGTTGTATGAGACAGCCAGTATAAAAAGGAGGGTTACGTTCCGAAAATTTACTAAGAACAAATATTTTTTTAATTATGCATAAACAACTTAACTTTTATTAAAATATATATATGTATGTACAACACAAAACACAAAATATTACATATTTTAATTTAACGCAACTTTAGTTTATTAAATTTCTTCGTTGTAATTGCTCAGTATAATCAACAGAGAACGTTTTTTCGGGAGAATGAGATCGCCTTCATTTTCAGAATTTCTTTCTTCATTTTAAGTTCTGGCATTTTCTTCCCTCTTCAAAAAATCTGTAATTTTACTTAGCTAACTAGTTCTTACCGGATCATTTTAAATTTCTCGATATGGAATTCTCGAGACAGTTTTTCTGCTCCATTTTGAATTTTCGGATTATTTCAGCGGAGGGGTCTGCACTAAGAAAAATAACTCGAGATTTTCAGCTAAGCGTAGACCTTCTTTTAATGATTTTAATGTTAAATTATTAACTTCACAATCTTCATCAGTGGTAGTGTCCTCAGAATCGATTTGATTTACAGCTTCGGATGCCATTTCTATCAAATCTTCGTCCTTTCTTCTTCCGCTAATAAATCTTGAACGCCCTCAATAGTTCACAAAACATTCCTTCCGATTGATTTAGCAAGCTCTAATATGCCACCAATTTTATTTTCTGACGATTCACGCACGTTTTCTATTTCAACTGAAAAGGGCTATATCTTCTTCTAACATGCATTTAATGTTATGCTTTCAGTTCTTTCAGAGACAAAGATATGATATCGATTCAGTTCTTGATTCAAAATGTCTTCCAAGCTTCCATTATGTTAATTGATTTTGAATCGGTTACGTCTAAAATCTACTGTAATGCTCTTCTTATGCAATATGTTTTAAAGGTATAAATAATACCAGGATCCAATTGTTGGAGTAACGAAGTAGTGTTAGGTGTTAAGAACAGTATTTTGACATTAGGATGATTCAAATCCTGTGGATGATAGGGAGCATTATCTGATAGTAATAAGCGCCTTGAAGTTCAAATTTTTCTGCCTTAAATAACGTTCAGCGTCTGGCACAAAACAATTTAAAAACTAATCTTTAAATATACTCCCAGCTACCCAAGCTCTTGGATTTGTTTTCCAATATACCGGTAAGGTGTTTTTATTTACGAGTAACACGAGGTCCTTTAAGTACACGAGGATTTAAAGATCTGTAAACTAACAAGGATTTTGTCATAAAGTCCAAAGTCATACTGCACATAAGTAGCTTTAGACAATTTTTAGACACCTTAAATCAGGATGCAGTTCGATATACAGGTTCTACTGGGCATTTTGTTCCCACCAGAGCCCAGTTTTGTCATTATCGAAAACTTGAACTGCTGTGTACCCTTGTTCTCTTCTACAATATTTTGAAATTTTTCAGGAAACGTCCTAGCAGCTTCATAATCAGTCGATACAGATTCTCCTTGAATTCTTATGCTATAAATTGCAAAACGCGTTTTGAAATTTTCGAAACAACCTTTACTTAATAGAAAATATGGGTTGATAGAAGGTTCTTCATGTTCTTTGAGGTACTTGAAAATTTTGAGTGCATTTTGTTTAATGATATTCCAACGAAATTCTTCTATCGTTACTCCAAATGCTGAGTGACTTTTCCATCTTCTCGATTACTGGCGCCCCCGGGGGCGAACTGCACGTTTTGCGGATATCGAAGATCCTGCAGCATTGCACTTCTTATTTCGTTTTCATTTTTCTTAATAGTACGGACTGTTTCTTCATTCCAATTAAAACGTTTTCCAATGTGAGATGCATTTTCTCCTTTTAAAAGACGGTCCAAGAATTGTATCTGTACTTCTAAAGAAATGAATTTCCTCTTAAACGTTTTGTTTTATCTTTATCGGACATGTTTGGGGACTGAAACTTAATGTCTTAAAAACGAAAGAGTTATTTTTTAACACATCGTGGCTCGACGCAGACTGCCGACCAGCAGCGTGAGACACTTTTGTTTTCAGGCCATGGAGATGAGGATTCGAATTTTGGAAGCCGAACGTGCAGGTTGTGCGTTTTAGAGCACTTATTGTGACTTCATGTTGTTCACCTTCTGCGATAGAGAGGTTTCTTTATTGCTATCTGGGGACATTTGTTCATACGGGTCATCTGAGGACATTTGTTCTTACGGGTATCGGATCTTGGAAGGACTTACTAAACAAGGATTTTTATGTGTTAAATTACTATATGGGTACTTTGCACAATATAGAAAAACTTCGTGCAGAGTTCGTTAAATTTCTTCGGATTGCTTGGGCAATTTCCTTATGGTATTAGAGTAAAACCGTGTTGTAGGAGGGTTCTGGAAATCTATGAATTGTGTTATAGCGTTAACCGTGTTATAGGAGGGCTACCTGTATTTGCAAGAACATACTGTTTTATAGTAGACAGTAGTTACTGCTCTATTTTAGAAGTTTACAATTTTAGAAACGTATCAGTTAATACATATTAAACATTCTGCCCCAATAAACGCGATGGAAAACATGTTTTCTTAACTTAATTATGTAATACTGTTAACGAAATTTATGAGGGAAGAGATCATTATAATGTTATATAGGAGATAAAACAAATCATGCTTATAATATGCTATCTTTTTTCCGTTTTATGTGCTAGATAAACTTTTAATTTCTGTAATTAATATCTGCACATGATTATCAATTTATTGGCGAAATGCATGCAGAGCATGCAGATTGTTAACCATTGGGTATTATTAGAACACGTGGATGAACATGTGTATTAATAAACATATTGCAGAAACATGTCTTTTCTTCAATATCTTTAATAATCTTTAATAATTTCTGCAATTAGAACATTTCTTTAACATTTACAAACACATTTTTAACATTACATATCGAGAAATAGGATATAGATCATGAGAGTCTAAATTAGTGTAAGAAAGTATGTGATGAGGAAAGGCCTGTGCATTAGGGCAGTTAAAACCACTCCTACTAAGCATCTTACTTATTGATAAGTTTAGTATCGTCTTATCAGGGCACTTTGTGATTTTATCTCCCTAATGAAATCTGCCTAATAGAATAATGACACCTGATGAAAGAATGATTGGAATAATTAACATACACATAGCAGTTACATTTTGTGCCTATATAGATAATGAATCATGTAACAAATTATTAATTTCTAAAGTATACAGGGTATTGAGCAAATCGGTTACAAACTTTCAGGAGAGTACTAGTACACCTAGAAGATAGAAAAAAACATAACAATGCATGGTCGAACAGGCTTTCCTGGCACGGTAGTGACAACACAAAATATACAAGAAAGGAAACATGAAGAGCGGGAGGAAATATGTTTATTATGCTTAGTACAGTAGAAATAAAAAATTAGAACAAAAATAGACAACGATCGTCCTCAAAGAAAGTGTCTGAAATCACGGCCCCGAACCCTGATACAAGCCTCATATTTCCGGCGCATGGAAGGTCTGATGTTCTGGAAAATACCGGGCATGTCGTGGACTTCGCCGGTAGCTGCTATTATACGTGCAATAGTTCCTCAGCACTTCTCACGGCTGCGGCTTTCGTACACTAAAATCTTGACGTGCTCCTAAAGGAAGTTGTAAATGCAAGCGATCTCGTTGCCCAATGTGTCGGACCACCCTTACCGATCCCATGTTGAAGATACGTTTTGACCGTAATTTCGAACACCCTCTTTGATGACGATCGTCTGTTTTTGTTCTTATTTCTTGGTTTCCGCTGCACTAAGCATAATAGACATATATTCTCATTATGTTCATGTCATTCCTTTTTTTGTGTTTTGTGTCAGCACTGCCGCGCCAGAAAAGCGTTTCCGACCATGCATTACTATGTGTTTTTCCATCGTCTAGGTGTACTCTATCTTTCCAGAAAATTTGTAACCAATTTGTTGAAAAATTAATTATTTCAAATAATTTTTGTTCTATTCCCTTCTACTATATCCTAAATTACCGGCTAATATTCTTGCTAAAAATAATAACAGCAACATTTATAATACATAGCTCTTTTCGACGTAGAATGTTATAATCTGACGATATAAAACATCTTTGGACCGAAAATAACAAAATTAAATTTCATTTTAATCTCTAGCCACTATAAAACTTTCCGTTTTTTTAATGCAATAACGAACATTCGATTGTCTTTTTTGGTTGGTTTTTCTTCCATTATCTTATTTGGGGTTAATAAAGTTTCATAATATAATGGCATGATAATAATTTTGTAGAATGTTGATCAGAAGATATGCTACGCAGTGATTGAAAATAAATTAAAAATTAACAGAACTCTGCTTCTTATGATAATTTTTTCCTTTGCAATAAATTCATTTGAAATTTATCTTGGCCTAAATTCTCTGTCAACAGTATAAAGTAAACATTCACTGGAGTTAAGAAAATTGAAAACAAATGTACGCATCTTGAAGATTTCACACACCAGATGTTTCATGCTATGAAACACAATAAGATAAGATAATACTAAAAATATATAAGTAACATCACACATTATTCGCTCAAAATAGTGAAAATACTAGTTAAAATTTAAAATGATGCGCATTGTTTTGGTTTTGAGTGCGATTCTAAGTCTAGCATCATGTTGTCCACCAGCTGAGTCACTACATCCATGCACTTGTGAGGCTGATGATTCTAGCTTTATTGAAGAAGTAACCTGTTTTAGCCTCGAAAATGAAATTGATCTGAAGAACGCAGCAGCAGCTTGCAAAAATAGGCCCATTATACAGAATTTCAAGATCATTGATTCGGCGTTGAATTACATTCCTGACTCAACTTTCGAAGGCACTTTTTTTAGAGTAATAGAAATAAAGGGTACTACACTAGTTTCAATAGGTGAGAAGGAAAAAGCTTTTGCAGGTTTGGAACATACTTTGAATACATTAGCATTGAGAAAAAACGTGTTTATGGGACCATGGAACTGGTCAGCTTTGAAAGGTCTAAAAAGCTTGAACTTTTTAATGTTCAATGAAATGGAACTTCAGTCAATTGAAACAGATATTGAAAGGATTAGCTTTCTGAATGGTGTAGATTTATCAAAGAACGAGATCTCGTGGATAGATGAGCAGGCTTTTAGTAAATTTTGGAACATGACATACCTTATTCTTGCTGAAAATGGAATTAAAGATGTGAAGAGGAGTATGTTTCCTAACCCAGCTTCTATGCTTAAACTTATCAGTTTGAGGTAATTTTTTATTTTATTTTATTTAAATTTTATTTTATTTATTTATTTTTTGGGTCTCCTAAATTTCTACAAAGTGAACACATTATTAGTTTGAATCCATTTTAAGTTTCAATTTAACAAATAAAGTATTACAATTTTAATTAGTTTAAGGAAAAGTAAAAACATTTAAATGCATTTAATTAAGAAATATTATTCAAGGTTATAGTTAAATTACCAGATTTTTAGAATGTATATGAAAGTTATTACTGTAGCAGATCACATTACTAAAAGGTCAAATTGTAAAGTGTAAAATATATATACTTGTTGTGGTTCACTGAGATTATTTATAGCTTTATAGCTTTTTTAGCATCTGTTTCCATGATTTGTTACATCATATTGTGAAAAAAGTATGTGATTTGTATCAATCACATATTTTCAAACTAATTTTCGCAATTATCATGTATTCTTCATTTGTATGCATTTCTTTAGTTTGAATTTGTATTAATGAGATTAATTAATTGACAAAACCTGTTTGAAGAGGATTCTGAATGTCGATTTTGAATTGGAGCAGAAGAGTTCAAAGAACAGAAGTCTTATTACATTCGTCAGGACATATGATGGACTAAATTTTAAAACATTATGTTTCAGAAGGGAGGAAATAGTTAAGAGTATTATGTAGCAAGGTATGGAACACATAATGTTAGAAACATTTCTTATTATTTATAAAAACGGTACAAAGAACTGAAAAATTAATATTTAGTTATCAAATTAATCACATGAATTAATTAGATTTGTTATAAATTGTGTAAATTAGGGGCGAAATTAAAAATTTAAATTAAAAAGATGAGCTATTAAGAATATAGGATATGGTTCAGAAATCCCGCAATTTATTAACCAATTATGGTTTTAATTAAAAAAATCTAATATCTTGACAAATGGAAAATGTTTTAAAACTAACAGGGTTCTAAGCTTTTTGGATAATAAATATTCTACAAACTCAAAGTTATGAGTTGGAAAAATTGAAAGTATATATAGACGTGTCTAATTATTTTTTCCCTAATTACGTTTCAAGGGTCCCTTTGTATATTCCCTTTAAAATCACAAATTTTGAGTATCTGTTATAAGTAAGTAAAACATATTTAAAACTTCTTGTTATAGTATATACTTTGCTTAAGAAAATTTACATAGAATAATCGCTGGCATTCAGTCAGTGAATTCGGTCACCGGTATTTCTCTTCAGCAAACTGACATTCGAGACATGTAACGTCCAAAAATATTTGAATTTACGCCGTTATGCTCAGGGAGCATTAACCTGTCTAAACTGCTGCACAGATGTTTAGTTAGAAAGCATAATGCAATGTTATATACAGTATCTATGTTTGACTTCTTTTCAGAGATAATCAAATTGAAACTCTTCCAAATGATATGTTTCAAGAAATGCCTAAACTTGAAACTTTTCTGATCGCCCATAACCACATTTTGACTCTAGATGAGAAAACATTTTCATCAATCTGGAAGCAGCTTGGCTTCTTAGAGTGTAGATCGATTTCTTTTTATAAAATACACAGGGTTCGTAAATTTTTCCAGTTGCGATGCCTTATTGCTAGAGATTCTGTATGCAATAAAAAGGTTAATGTGTTATGTCGTGGAGCAAAACAATTTTACCTTACACCTGACTGCCACTGGCTCCGACATAGCAATGTGAATACTCTACATCTAAAATTTTAAAACACCATTCCAGAATTTTAAATGTTTATTTAATAGAATTCTATTCATATATTTGCAAGTTATACACTATAAACACAATAACAAAAATTTTAACTTATCTGCACCAGCGTGAATAAGCCTGGCATAATATTCTGAACTCGACGCAACTTTAGGAGGAAAAATACCGCAAATTCAAACACAAGGTTTCATCCCATTCAACGCAGCTAATTTTCTAAAATATATTTTACTAATATCCGCAGCGGGCAGCGGATTCATTTCATTTCACTCACCCAAAACTCGAATCTTGTAACGCAATAGTATCGCAAAAAACGCAAAAAAGAAACTCGGTTAACATACAATACATATGACAGATCATACTAAAAGGAGATCAAAAAATAATAAACTTCTAATTAAAGTCATTGCTAAAGGAAAGAGGATATAAGTCCAAAACGTCTATATTGTACATTATGTCTAAGAGCATGTCCTTGGTTTTAAGAGTCTACCGTATCTAGATCTGTTTTCAGTTGCCAGAGTTAGCACAGGATCACTGGTAGTTGAAACTTCTAGTGGGTACAGTTTTTTTGATTGGTCTTACCAAATATCCACTGCTTGTTTTTACCTGTACCACTCTGGTAGCCCCATCTCTACTACTGAATATTTTTACAATTTTGCCCATTGGCCACATTACACGTTTTTTATTGTCTAGTTCTATGAGGACTACGTCCCCCACCTTTAGGTTTTGACATGAAGCGCTTGCCTTCTGCACCAGTTGAGCCAGATATTCCTTGCGGAAGCGACTTCTCAGTTCTTGTCTCAACGTATTGCAGTAATTTACACGCACATTCAGTTTCTGGGAATCGATGTAATCCAGATCTGGTACCCCCACTTGTTTTATGTCTTGCAAAAACAGGGAAGGTGTCAGAGGTACGAGCTCTTCCGAATCATCATAGATGTATGTTAAAGGACGGTTGTTTAATGTGGATTCAACATCACACAGGACGGTCAGTAACTCCTCGAAATTCACCGACGATCTCCCTAGAATTCGCACGAGAAGAGTCTTGGTGGAACGAACTAAGCGCTCCCACCATCCCCCCCACCACGCAGCCGTAGGGGGGTGAATTTCCATTTTATTGGAAAACACTCGTTTTCTGTGATTTTTCTCCAATCCAGGCATCTCAGAGCATTGTCTGCTCCGGTAAAATTGGTTCCGTTATCTGAATACATTGTCGCAGGACGGCCTCGTCTGGCAATGAACCGTCTCAGAGCCTGTAGAAACGTTTCGGTACTCAGAGAGGTGACAGGCTCCAGGTGAATTGCCCGGTATACGGCGCAGGTGAACAAGACGATCCAAGCTTTACTCTTTGGTCTCAGAAGTAAAGGTCCACAAAGATCGACTCCAGTTGTTTCAAAGACTGCCGAATCTCTTATTCTGTCAAGGGGTAACTGGATCGGAGGGGTAGATAAAGCCTTAGCGGTAAATCTCCTACATACTACATACACATCGACTTACGCAAGATCTTATATTACGTTTCGACGAAATGATCCAGTATCGCTCTCTTAACTTAGCAGCTAATATCTGCACTCCCGCATGACAGTTCTTTTCATGATACTCTCTTATGAGGCATTCAGTTTAATAATGCTTGGACGGAAGCAACAGGGGATAAAGGAAGCAGAATTCATCATCACGTTCAATGATTTTAGTTTTAACTCTGAGGACTCCGTCGTTGTCTCTCACTACCAATAATCCATGGACGGAATCTCCTTTCTCTTGAAAGTGCTTCCTTTGCTCTAAACTCCACAAAAATGTTTCGGCGTTAGTTTTTTCTTCTACTGTTAAGGTATCCGAAGAATACGAGGGCTTCTTTAGGAGTTTATTAGTAAAGCGTAGAACCCAGCAGAATACTCGAACTATTTTAGAAAAACTCGAAAAACGTTTGTACCACTCAGAATCTTCTAATTTTATACTCAAATTGACAAATCACTCCCTTCTTAATTTCTGCTGCAACAGAATTTTCGTCTGGAGTAAACTCAAAGTCTGGCCATTCTTTCGGAGAGCTTTTCAGAAATTCGGGGCCCTCCCACCAATTGCATTGCCGCAAATGTTCAGGCGTACAGCCACGAGATGCCACATCTGCCGGATTCAATTTCCCAGGGATATGTCTCCAACATTCCTGCTTCGAGAGTTTCCGAATCTCCTTTACTCTATTATTCACAAATACTCCCCAGTTTTCCTCTCGTTGTATCCAGCTAAGAGCCACAGTAGCGTCTGTCCAGTAATATATCGGGACATCGACTAAGCACAGGGTTTCAACAGTATACCTTGCCAAGCGTGCACCTAGAACACAGGCTAGCAACTCCAAACGCGGAATAGTTATTTTCTTTAAGGGCGATACGCGTGATTTTGCTATATGACGAATTTCACGAAAACTTTGTCTTCTTCCTTACTTCGTAAGTAAATGACAGTTGCATAAGCGGCTTGACTGGCATCGCAAAAGACGTGTAGAGTCCATGAATCCTTAATTCCATGACCCATGCGACGAGGTAATTTAAGGCTGGAAAGACTAGGCAACCTTTCGTACCATCTCTCAAATCTTGTTTGAAGTTCATCCTGGTAATGGCTTATCCCAGGTCGATTTTGTTGCCCAAGCCTCTTGAAGAATTAATTTCGCAGGTAATATGACGGGCACAAAGAAACCTAGCGGGTCAAAAACAGCATGGATTAGAGACAATAGTCTCCTTTTTGATAAGTCTCTTTTAACGATTTCTCTTTGGACGGATATTGTAAGGCTGTCATCTCTCGTCGGTCCCACTGCAAGCCTAGAACTGCGGAGACTGGTTCACTATCTTCAGCTGCTAGCTCTTGATCACCATATTGAAGTCCACATTCGAAGATCCATTTTGGCTTCTGCCATAATAGTAATCGACTGGCTCATAAAAAAACCTTTAGCTCTTCGTTATCATCGACTGACGTGACACAGTTGTCAACATAAAATGATTTGGCAAGTTTATTCGCAACAGCTTTGAATTCAGGTGAAACGTGGGACAAATGAAATGAAATCACAGCTGCCAATAAATAGGGGCTACTAGTTAACCCAAAAACAACCCTCTTGTGACGAAACACTTCAATTCTATTATTTACCCACCACAAAAACTTTAAGTAATTTTGATCCTCACGCTCTCTACCTCAATCTGTAAAAAGGCCCGCCTAATATCGGATGTTACACCAATTGCCTTTTCCCTAAACCGCATTAGAATGGCTGAGATTTCTTCTACAAGGTTTGGACCTTTTATCAAGCAATCATTTAGCGAAAGCGAACCAACGACTTTGCTCGACGCATCGAATACAGGCCTAATCTTGGTAGTGAGGCTACCTAATTTTATTACTGGATGGTGTGGTAAATAATGCCCTCCGTCATTCTTTACTGATTTTGGGACAATTTCTATGACATCTTCCGCTAGCCATTCGTTAAATACTGTACTATACTCATCAAATTTATTTAATTTTCTCAATTTTCTCGTAGTAGCAAAGAGCCTCTTTTCTGCAATATGCCAGTTAGAGGGAATATCAGGAGGGAATTTTAGAGCCCAAGGTAAACTCACGCAATATCTACCATCTCCGGTTCTGCGAAGGCCCCTAAGAAACTGCTCTTTCGCTGCTTGATCTTCTGCGACCCTGGAAATGCTTTGCGCATCATCTGCAATGCCGATAGTTTCTAACTTCCACATAAAGGAAGGTTCCATGTCTTGAATAAGAAGATTAGTTACTAACATAGATGGGGTACCCTCAAAACTTTGGATAATCGTTCCTTTCGATTCCCCGCACACAGCGTCCATCCCAGTTTAGTATTTATGGCTGTCAAACCACCCTCAAGCTGAATTACTTCACCAGTAAGTATTTGCCCATAAATATCACTCCCTATGAGGATTTCTATTTCCGGGTGACCCTCACCGACATCTGAAATCCAAATTCTGTGTCTTTTTAATTCCTTCAATAACGGTCCTTTAGGTATGCGTGGTATGCCTCCACAAATGGTATTTTGATTCAGAAAACTAAATTGGTACACTTTTTTTTTTCCCAACCGGGCTTAGACCTATAGAATATCTCTTGTGAATTTTTGACTCAGTCCTTGTTCCGCCAAATAACGCGTGAGTTAAAGTCTCAGAGGAAGTGCTTTTCAGATTTAAAGCTTCAAGCTGTGGATTGTAAAACGTAAGATCGTTGGGATCCACAATCCAAGAGGCACCTGACCACCTTCTTTACAGTGCCTACAACTATTTCAACCATTAACGTCATAAGAGTGACTTCATTCATACATAAGGGAGAGGACATTGTACTTTGTACCATTACTGACTCGTTTCGTTTTTCCTTATTGTCAGCATTGTTTTCTGATACCTCCGGGCATAAAATTATAGGGTGAGATCGCCTACACAAATAGCATTGAATAAACTGTGGACACTTCTTCGCAAAATGCCCTGGTTTAAGACAGCGGAGGCAGCATTTTAATTCTCTTAATTTGTCTAATCTTTCCTTTAAGCTCATCGATCGAGCTGTAAAACATTCTTTGCTTTCGTGAGATTTTCCGCAAAAAAACACATTTTTGTTCTTTGACAGCAACTAGACTTGCTGCGCTAGCGATTGGTTTTTTGGTCTTAACTTTTACATCTTTAGAATGTTCATTGCGCGAAGTAGAAGAAATTTCAAATCCAGACCTGGCTAGTTTAACTCTCTGCTCTCCTTCGACCTCTTTACGCAAAAATTCCAGGAGATTTGTGAGACGTGATCCTTCTTTACTGAACAAAACGCTTCTCTGCCATACTCGAAGCATCT